CCGACGTGACGTCACGGCGCGTCCTAGCCCGCCAGAATGGGCGTGGCTTAGCGTATATAAGCGGGGCTCGGCGGCTGATTCTCTGATTTTCATCTCTTCATCGAAGCTGCATGCATCGCTGGACCTTGAGAAGCCGCCGCCGCCGTTGAAACAGCGACAAGCCAGCTAGGACAGTGACTGAGGAAGCTGGCCGTCTTCGCCACCTTCAGCCTTCCAAAGCGAGCTACGCTATCCGGCGTCGTATCCTTTTCTTATTGCAACCGAGCATCTAAAAGAGCACGAGCGTCTTTTTAAAGATGACTCGCTCCACTTGCGGCTCGTGCAGAGCCCCGCTCAGCGTCGGAGACCGCCACGTTATATGCGCTCTCTGCCTGGGCCAGGAACATGCTGCTCTTGCCCTCTCTTCGGGAGGATGTGAGCACTGTGAGGAGCTTCCGATGTCGACCCTGCGGGCTCGACTCGAACCCTTCCAGGACGAAGCTATCTCTCCACCCTTTGCTGGACCGCGCAGGAAAAAGAAGCGTCGTTCTCAAAGGCCGCCGGAGCCTGCCGCCGCCGCCGGAGCGCTCGCCGGAGTCCCTCCCTCGAGCCTCGCCGATGCCCTCCCCGCCTCTTCTCACCGACGCGCAGCCGCCAGCTACGGCCCGCCCTGCCGTCGAGTCTGAGGACGACGCGGATGGACCCGCCGCAGGAGATAGCTGTTCCATCCTAGCTTCGGATAGCGAGGAGTGGTCGAGCTCTCATCGCTCCGCCTCCTCTTCTATTCAGGAGTCTGGGAGAACACGTGCCGGAGTGGAAGCCGAACTGATGCGCCTCCTTTCGCAGGCCGTCGACCGCCTCGGGCTCGAGTGGTCACTGCCTCAGGAGCCCGCCCCCAACAGGCTTGATGGCTGCTTTCTTCAGATTCGCCGCCGTCAAGTGCCCGCTTCCAGGCCCGCGCCCTTCCTCCCTGAGCTGCACTCGGAACTGGCTAAATCGTGGAATGCCCCTTTGTCCGCGAGGCTTCATTCCTCTGTCTCCGCGTCGCTCTCCCAAGTGGACGGCGCCGCCAAAAAGGGATACAGCTCTATTCCTAAGGTCGAGGTAGCTGTCGCAGCGCACCTTTGCCCGCCCTCCGCGAGATGGCGCTCAAAGTCTGCCCTGCCATCTAAAGCCTGAAGGACCACATCTGCCCTTGTCGGTCGCGCATACGCTGCCGCCGGACAAGCAGCTTCCGCCCTGCACTCAATGGCTGTTCTGCAAATTCTCCAAGCCGATCTCCTCCGTGAGTGGGACGAGAAAGGCCGGGACCCAGCTGCCGTTACGGACCTGAGGAGCGCGACGGATCTCTCTCTTCGCGCTACTAAGTCTGCGGCCCAGGCCCTGGGGAGATGCATGGCCTCGTTAACTGTAACTGAGAGGCACCTTTGGCTGACGCTGGCTGACATGAGAGAGTCTGAGCAATCCGTTTTCCTCGACGCCCCTCTCTCACGCTCCGGTCTCTTCGCCGTCCCCCTCGCTTTCGAGCGCGGACCGCGACGACAGTGAAAGCAGAAGTAGCACACCTACTTCGCTCGGAAATAACAAAACTGCTGTGCAAAGGGGCCATAGAACCGGTACCGCCTTCTCTGAGCGAGTCAGGCTTTTACAGCCGTTATTTTCTCGTGCCCAAGAAGGACGGGGGACTCAGACCCATACTGGATTTGAGGCATGTGAACAAAGCTCTTATGAAAAGACCGTTCAGAATGCTTACAACCAGACAACTCCTCGCGCACATTCGCCAGGGGGACTGGTTTATATCTCTCGATCTGAAAGATGCCTATTTCCAGATTCAGATAATACCCCATCACAGGCCATTCTTGAGATTCGCCTTCGATCGGGTTTATCAATACACCGTCCTGCTGTTCGGCCTGTCCTTAGCACCCCGTACATTCACGAAGTGCATGGACGCAGCTCTCGCCCCCTTGAGAACTCAGGGCGTGCGAATTTTGAACTATCTGGACGATTGGTTGATTCTAGCACAGTCAGAGACAGAGCTATTATCTCACAGAACTGCGCTTCTCAGCCATCTGAAATGCCTAGGTCTCACGGTCAACTGGACCAAGAGCACATTACTGCCCAGTCAGTCAATTTCCTTTTTAGGAATAGAATTGGACTCAGTGACCATGACGGCTCGCCTGTCTACACAGCGCGCGCGCTGCGTCCGGCAACTGGCCATGTCATTCACGGCGGGCAGCGTTTCCCCTCTGAAAAAATTCCAGAGGATGCTAGGCTTGATGGCTTCAGCCTTGGCGGTACTCCAGCTAGGTTTACTGCGCATGCGCCCGCTACAACACTGGCTGGCTGCGCATGTGCCACACCGAGCTTGGAAGTCGGGTCGCGAGCGGATCAGAGTGACTCAGCTGTGTCACAGCTCTGCAGCCCTGGTCAGCGGCCGACTGGTACCAGAGGGGAGTGACTATGGGGGCGGTCTCATACAGGAAGGTCATCTCGACGGACGCGTCCAACTCAGGTTGGGGCGCCATCCTCGAGGGCAGACCAGTCTTCGGCCTGTGGTCAGACCGGGAAAAACTCTTCCATATAAACTGTCTGGAAATGATAGCGGTCGAGAACGCGCTGAAACGCTTCCTCCCGCTCATATAGGACCACCATGTTCTAGTCCGCTCGGACAACATGTCTGTGGTGTCCTATTTAAATCGCCAGGGCGGCGTCAGATCCAGGAACCTCTGCAATCTGGCGGAACGCCTCCTCGTTTGGTCTCAGCACCATCTGCGCTCACTGACAGCTGCACATGTGCCGGGTCACCTGAACGACGGCCCAGACAGACTGTCCAGGGACAACGTTCCCCCGGGAGAATGGTCCCTGCACCCCCAAACAGTCCAGTTATTATGGCGCCTTTTCGGCCAAGTCGGAAGTCGACCTTTTTGCGTCACAAGACAATGCTCATTGCCCAACGTTCTTTTCAAAGGACAGGGACGCGCTGGCCCGGACGTGGCCCAGCCGCCCGTTGTATGCATTTCCTCCGGTATCTCTGTTACCACAGGTGATCAAGAGAATCAGGGAAACGCGCCATTCAGTGCTCCTCATAGCCCCGCGATGGGAGAACCAGACTTGGTTTCCAGAGCTAATGCGGCTGTCACAGACAGCCCCATGGCCTGTCCCGCTGAGAGCAGACCTCTCTGGTCCCGCTGGTCGCTACACGTGTGGGTGATCAACGGGTATCCATCGCCCTGCCAGACGCAGTAATGAACACAATCTCGCAGTCTAGAGCACCTTCTACCAGAAGGCTCTCCGTGTCCAAATGGTCTGTGTTCTCTAAGTGGTGCACTAACAAAAACCTAGATCCGCGAACGTGTGGGGTCCCACGGCTGCTCAGTTTCCTTCAAGAGCTGTTGGATAGGGGCAGATCCCCCTCCACGCTCAAAGTCTATGTGGCGGCTGTCCTAGCATTCTCTGAATCAATGCACGGCCAGTCGATAGGCAGAAACAAGCTTATCATCCGCTTCCTCAGAGGAGCCAGAAGGATGAACCCCCCGCGCCCCCCCTCGGTTCCTATGTGGGACCTTTCACTGGTCCTAGAGGCCCTGAAAGCATTCCCCTTTGAACCCCTGGACACAGCGGACCTGAAATACCTGTCGCTCAAAGCTGTTTTTCTGATCGCACTGTCATCAGTCAAACGCGTGGGGGATTTACACGGGCTATCTGTAAGCGCGTCGTGTCTTCAGTTTGGCCCGAATGACTCAAAAGTCATCCTCAAGCCTAGACATGGTTACGTTCCCAAAGTGGTTGGCACCCCATTCAGAGCACAGGTCATTTTTCTATCGGCTCTGCCAGCATCCGATAGTGAAAGTGATGTTAATCTCCTCCGCCCCATTCAGGTGCTCTGAGCAGCTGTTTGTTTCGTTTGGTGGGCGCACTAAAGGTCTCGCCGCCTCGAAACAGAGCCTGTCTAGGTGGATAATAGACGCAATCGCAGCCACTTACACGGCAAAAGGTCTGCAGTGCCCCTTGGGCATCAGGGCTCATTCCACTAGAGGCGTGGCCTCGTCGTGGGCATGGTCAAGTGGAATTTCCATTCAAGACATATGTGTGGCGGCGGGCTGGTCCTCTCCGTCCACCTTTGTCAGGTTTTATAACCTAGAAGTTCCCGCCCTGCAGGCGAAACTGCTGTCTGTTTAAGTGAGAGGTTAGCCCTGTCCAGATATTATCATGCGCAGACTACCCTCACATGAATTCAGCTCTTCTGGTTGAGCTGCACTGTTTCAGGTTATGTGCTATATGCCTATACACCAGCCACACGCGGCCGCTCTGTATTGCCTGTCAGTGCTTGTTTACACGCGCTTATGCGCTTCATGGTACTCGCGCTTATGCTCGCGCTTATGTACATGCGTGTTATTCCCACTTTCTGGGTTCACAGAAGTGTTGTGACTCATGAGGCGGATGCGGGCGCGCACGGCGTGGACAATGGGTTCCCGTAGCGTAAGCTAAACTTACGCAATACGAGAGAACCTCTCGTAAGAGAATGTACTGGTTACTAACGTAACCTCGGTTCTCTCTAGAAGAGGGAACGAGTATTGCTTAACCTGCCGTGCTAAACGCCACAAGCGCTATTTCGCTTCAGTCGACGAAAACCAGAGAATCAGCCTCCGAGCCCCGCTTATATACGCTAAGCAACGCCCATTCTGGCGGGCTAGGATTGGACGTGACGTCACGTCGGGCTCACTGGTAGGCTGTGCAGTTCCCGCAGAGCAGCCTATGAGCGCGCTAGAATGCCCGCTCTAGGTCTGCTAGCTGCTGCACTGCGTTGACAACATATACAAAATTAAGGATAATTTTTGGCTTCAATATCTCGAGAAGATGAATCTTTCCCGTAGCGTAAGCTAAACTTACGCAATACTCGTTCTAGAGAGAACCGAGGTTACGTTAGTAACCAGTACGTTTCTTTATACCTGAGAAAAAATCAGATCATCTGGCAGTATGATTAACCAACCAAATTTTCTCTCTCTTTCTGTGTTCCCTAGACGGCTCAGACGGTGTTGTTGGTTGTCGCTGCGTTCCTCATCTGCTGGATGCCGCACCACATTATTGCTATGTGGGTGGAGTTCGGCCAGTTTCCCTTGAATGATGCTTCCTTTGCGTTTCGCATCATCTCTCACTGCCTGGCCTATGGAAACTCCTGTGTCAACCCCATTCTTTACGCTTTCCTCTCGGAAAACTTCAGAAAAGCCTGCAAGCAGGTCTTCACTTGCCGTTTTTTTTTTTACTCCCCTCCGCCTGTGGAGAAAGTGGTGCGCATTCGCATGGAGAACTTCTCCATGACACATTCCACTACTAACATGTGACTCAAAACATTTTGGAGATATCAGCACTGTTTAAAAAATTGGGCAAACATTTGTGTTGTTTCTGGATCATAGCATAGTGTATGACTCACATTCAAGAAGGTTTGAATAACATGGATAGTAAAAAAGAAAAAGCTACCTTGAGAATTAAAAATCCTATAATATCTCAATCCATGTATACCAAAGGCATTTGCTTAGGAAAAAAAAGTGTGAACTATTTAAGTGTAAATAGTGTTTGTCATTGAAATGTTGTTTTATTACATTTTGTATGTTCATTGTTTAATGTGTATTTAATGTTATTGAAAATAACTCAAACATAAGTGTTCATTTAAAAATATAATTATTATATGATAGTTTTTGAATATGTTTGAAAGATTCACTCTAAAAGAAGTGATTCTTTTGAATGTGTGAAAAGACAGGGAAAAGAAGTTATTCTAAAAGAAGTGATTCGTAAAAGGCTGTGTTTGTGAATGAATTGTGCTGTCTGAACTCCTTTTTAGTGTTTATGTTGTATTCAACAAACACTTTCAGTCTCAGTATAAACATGCCATAAACCTCAATATTTACTTGTATGCTGTAATTATATATTCGGTGATGTTTGTTTCAGTGTATTATGTCCAGTCTTCTGGTTACGTATATATCCATTATAAAAAGAAAATATTATTGAAGGTTTCCCCCTTAATAATTCAAATAAAAAAAATATCTAATTCAATGGACAATAAAATGTATGTTTAGGTTTTCTGGTCCTTTAAGAGTAAGTTAGAGTGGGTTCTTGTTTAAAAAGGATGTCTATCTGTAGCCTAATGCTTATGGTTAACTGTTTGACATAGACTGGTGATTGTCCTAAACAAAAGATCAGTGGAAACTTTTGTGTGTGTGTGTGTCTTACCAGTCTATTACTCACGGCTCTCTGTGAGATATCAGGACAAAAGCTCTTATAAACACTTTTTTTTTAGAATCAGGAACGAGTCAAGAGTGTCTCAAAACTTAGGAACTTCCCTGATGACGAAAAAAGGATGGCACATTTTCCAACAGGTCAGGTTCCTGTCAGGTGAATATGATTGCATAAAATCCTACCATCACTCATGCCTTTAATCCTTGTGGAATACATCTTCATTACAATGCAGCTCTCTCTATAATGTGATATAATAGTACTGCAAATGATAACATAGTGCTGAAGGTAACCCTAAAAATTACACTTTTTTTCTTTTCTTTTTCTTTTCTTTTTTTGCACAGTTCACATAACTTTGGAATGATCATGTCAAAGTACAGACTGGTAAATTTCTGTTATTTTATTTCTTTAAAAGAATATCATGTATATTGAATGCGTTTATAAACAGTGCTGCATTTCACATAGTGTCAGCACTATATAGGTCTGGCAGTGCACGATGATAAAAAATGTTTTCCACTGGGAGAACTCCCAGGTGAGTAGTCAGGGAAAATATTCAGAATCTGGTGATGCTAAATCATGCTCAGACAAACCATTAATAACAAAGTTAACCCTTTCAGACATTGTCAGTGTCAAAGCACGTCACTTTTCTTTTCTCTTTTTTAAAATCATAATTAGATTATATGCTGCTAAATTAATCTTTGAGTGCTGTATCACTAGCACACAGTGACCATTATTTCATTAGTAATTCTATACTTTTGTCCAGTCACTAAAATTGAGTCAAATTGTTTTTAGACAAAAGTTATCAAATATCTTAGCATTGCTAGCAACCTGAATTTCCAATTTCTTCTATATGAAGTTTTCTTGAAATAAACTTGAATCAACAAATATAAATTTCTAATTATTAGAGTTGAAATAAAGCATGATAATTTTTTCTTGTGCCTGGAACATAATTTGGGTCATTAACAGTTATAGATATGCAACCTCATTCTCTATACATTTCACACCAAATATCTCTAATGTTAAAAAAGCAGACAAACATCCACATATAGCCTAAACATCCTTTCACTAAAATTATTTCCTTCTGCATTTCTGATGAACCAAATGAACCTTTAAGAGGAGTGCACAATTTAACCCAAAAGTATTTGTTGCATTTCAAAGCCAAAATGTTGCTGTACTCTACAGTCAATAACATTATGCATATCAAGGGCATTTGCATGATGGTTTGTCTGTCTTTCATACATTAAAGCATGAATCTCACAAAATGGACTTGAAAAAACAAGAAAGTGTACATTTACTTCATAAGAGGGTAGTTCTGCTTGACCAGGTTGCTTTTTCTTCACAGCTCCCTGTTTACGTCGTCTCTAATCAATGTTATGAAAGACCCTCTTCTCAATAACACTGCTGCAAAGTTCAAATTTATCTCATGGCAACCCTCCTGTTGTGCCGTGATAAACAGTTGGAAGTGAAGCATGAAGCCTCACTTTCAGACCTCTCTATCACATTCATTCCCATTAGGCAAAGGATGCAGCATTAGCAGCACTGAAATAACAACGCAAATAAACCAACATCACATCAACCAATAAAACAGGAAAACTGACAACCTTGCTATGTAAATGTGTTTTTGTCTTAGCACCACTTACAGCTTCCTTAAATTAGTCTGTTTGTTGTACAATTTATTGTTCAGTGTCAAATACCTCACAAAACAGTGAGAGTTCACTGCAAACATTTTCAAATGAAAAACATTCAGTCTAAATGTAAACAAGTTTTAGGCCAAAATGATCATAAATGTTTAGTGCTATTAAGGCTCAATAAAACAAATACACAAAGAAACACTTAATTATTATTTTCTTTCTTCTGTAAATCACAGATTGTTCTTGAGCAAATGAAAGTCAATGGGATCCAAAATTGCACTGAACTGATTTTCATTGTTTGGACAAAATATTTTTGAGAATATCTTTTGTGTTCCACAGAAGCAAGAAAGTCATACAGGTTTGGAATAACGTGAGGGTAAGGCTGCAAATGCATACATCCTATATAGTATGTGAAAAGAGTATGTCTGAATTTACAGTATCCATAGAAAACTTCCCAGATGACCTATACTTCTGGCGAGATTCTGAAGTGAGCATCTGATGAACACTTTACTATCCCATAAGGCCACGGGAGAGGAATTACAGTGAATAGCATCATGAATAGCAGTGAAGCCAGTCAAGCTATGCAACTGACACTGTAGGTGACATGACAATAACAACATGACAAATGTAGTATGTGTGGAATACGTACATACTATATAGGCCATAAGACGGGACCGCAAATTTGGGCAACCGGTACCATTTTGAGGGATTAAATTTATTTTTGATTTTCATGAAGGTACACATCTCTAGTGTTGGAAAATGTGTGATAGCATCCGATCCATGGTAGCTTTCATTAGAAATCAACACTTATATCATCCTACCTCAAGGTAAGGTGTTCAGTGACTACAAGAGAGAAAAATGTATCCTTTTATAATTTAAAAAATGTATTTAAAAAAAATAATATTTTTTTATAATAAAAATTTATACAATTTAAAATTTATTTAAAGGTAAATTCATTTATCCTTTTTCTTGACATATGTTTGAAAATCGTCCTCCGTAACCAAAAGCTACCTTGAATCTAATGCTATCACACATTTTTCAAATACAGGGTCATATACCTACACAAAAATCACCATGCGGTTTAATCCCTCAAAATGGTACCAATCAACCCTCTGTCTCACGGCCTAATACACATTCAAACTATATAAAACATATTTTTTAACAGCTCCAAAGTAAGACCAAAATGAAGAATAAAGGGGTTCTGGTGTTCTTCCTAGAGTATGAATTACTTACTAAGATATGCGCTTTCAGACATGATTTAAATGATGACAGAATTTAGATTTTGGGGTGAACTAGCCCTTAAGATGTCTAATACAAATGTGTACAGAAGCTTTAGGACAAAACGTTCGTTTAACATGTTTATTTTAAAGGTTCAAACAACAAATATAAAATAAACATTTGACATTTTTAATAAGGCTGATTTGTAGATCATACTTTAACCACCTATTTGGTTTTCTCCATTTCTTTAACATCAGTTTTATTGCTGGGTTTCTGAATTTCTGACTCCATCCCTGGTAAAGATGTTCTCCTCCTGGCTGCTGTCTCTATTCTCTGCACAAGTTCCACATCCCACAGGTGAGTAACGAAGCTTAGCACCTCCCCTCCGCCAGAGCCACCTGCTCTACCCACGCGCCCTGCCCGGTGGATGTAATCTGTGTGGGTCTCTGGGAAGTCATAATTGACAATAAGTCCAACCCTCTGTGTGTCCAAACCTCTTGAAGCAATGTCAGTGCATATTAGAACATCAACACTCCCTCTTTGAAAGTTCCTGAAAATTCCCTCTCTCATGGTTGCAGGCATCTCTCCCTGGAGCCTCATATGACGAACACCCATCTCCTCCAGCGAATAGCCCAGCCAGTTGACAGTGGAAGCCGAGTTACAGAACACCAGAACCCCTTTATGCTCCAGTTCAACCTTCTTCAAAGCTTGATGAAGCTCTAGAATCTTGTCTGCCCCTTTGATCCTGAGAAACATCTGTTTTACATGCGGCATGAGATGATGTAGCATCCGGCTTTTAACGGTCACCATGCTGGCCAGGTTAGTCACCATGCTGAGCACCTCTCCTACACCACCCGGAAACGTGGCTCCCACCACAACCAGCTGAGCTTTATGATCAAGCCCAACTGTCTCTGAGAGTCTGGACGCCACCTGGGTATGCGAAAAAATATCCTCAAGCAAGCCCGCAAAACTGACGTCAAACATAGTATCGGCTTCATCGATGACTAGGAAGTTTAGTTCGCTCAAGCTGATGAACCGCTTCTGGAGAGCCTTTAGCAGAGCGCCAGGTGTGGCCACTAAAACATCTGGCTGACCATGAGTGAACGCCGCTTTGATGTTTCCCACACCTCTCCCACCTCCTGCGACTTTGACCACTATTCCAAACCGTTGGCTCATTGATCGAGCTACAGATGTCACTTGTTCTGCTAGTTCCCGTGATGGAACAACGACCACAGCGCGAATGTTTCTATCGGAGTCTGTGAACGGCTCCTCCTGCAGCCTGTGGATGATGGGAAGGAGGTAAGCGAGTGTTTTTCCACTTCCTGTCTCTGCAGCGCAGAGAATATTGCATCCTTTTAGTATTTTGGGAATGGTTTGCATCTGCACTGTGGTGGGGTGAATTATATTCTGACTGTGTAAAGTCTCGACCAGTTCTGGACAAATGTGAAAGCAATTAAATGTCTTTTTAGTGGTGGAAGCTGTGTCATTACCCTTGTTCTTCTGCTTGAGCATGGATGGTGGAGCACTCTGCATGCTATTTATGGAGAAGTAATCCCCTAACGTTTTGTTACTCTTCCATCCCTTTGATGTCAGAACAGGTTGTTCAAATTTTCCAAGTGTATAGCCTACAGACTGGTTTAGCTGCGGGTTCTTGCTCGTGATCAATAGTCTGCCCGGCTTGACTGTTGGCAGCCTGTCAAACTTCTTGCTTTGCATCTGTTTGACGTTCTCCATATGTTCTTGCATGGGTCTCGGGATGCGGATCACAACAGGCTGTGAGCTAGTTGTTGTCATTCTGCGTAGACCCGCACTAATGGACACGGTCTGTCCCCTGCCAGGCTGCGAACTAAAAGAATAGCGTGTTGCCTGCGAGAGTTTGGAAATTTGAAAGGCACAGCGTCCGAACCTCACTGCCTGCATTGTGGATACGAGTACAAACGAAAATGAATATCGTATGTCCTGTTTACTACACAAACGAATTAGAAAAGAACCTTTTAATGTGACAAATGCGGAAAAAACATGGATCTCACATGCACCGATGCGCTTAGTTCGTCCGGGCACAGGATGATGACGTTTACAAACACAGTAGGCTCATGTCAAAATTAAAGCCCCATTGATCAAATGTGAAATGCCCATTGTTGAATTCAGAACCGCGTACTACTCTAGCTATTTCTGCCATTTATTTACATTTATTTATTGAACAGACCATTTTATCTAAAGCGATTTTGTATAAAGGAATACAGGAAGCGATTTATTTCATTTTCAAACATTGTCTAGAATAGAACATGGACAGGGAGTGATTAAGATTAAGACATAGTGGAAGCATAAAATAATCTTTTAGAGTGCAAAACTAATGTTCTTTATGCGATTGTGTGGAAATATTCGTTAACACATGGCCGGAGATGGGACACGCTCAAGACAAGCGCAAAGATTACGAAAATGTGCCATGGTTTTACAAATAAAACAAAAACAAAAAAACATGGTTATTGTGGTTCAACCATGTATCCACAAATAAACCATGGTTTTGCTACACTATAGTTTAACCATTGTATTTGTAGTAAACTGATACAACTGGCAATCAATCCGGCAAAAAAAAAAAAAATTGGTTAGGGAAAGCACATCAAATACTGTAACAGGCACAGCAAGCTCACTGTTCTTGATGCTCGATATTGGAAGAAAAAATATAAATAGGGCTGTCAAATGATTAATCATGATTAATCACATCCAAAATAAAAGTTTTTTTTACATAATATATGTGGGTGCACTGTGTATAATTATTTTATATATATAAATACACACACATGCTTGTATATATTTAAGAAATATTTTCATGTATATACAGATTTATATATAATTTATATTATATATAAATATAAATATTTTATATATAAATAATATTTTTTTCTTAACTATACATGCATGTGTGTGTATTTATATATATACAAAATAATTATACATAGTGCACCCACATATATTATGTAAAAAAAACTTATTTGGGATGTGATTAATCGTGATTAATCATTTGACAGCCCTAAATATAAATATTGAATATATTTCTTATCTATTTTAAAATCTCTAAATATAAGTTTCGATGACATTTTCTTTATTCTTTTTTTTTTAATTCAACTCTCCAGGATTTCCTTTTCCTCTAGTCTAGCTTACCTCAGCTGATCGGGAACCAAGGCAACGCTATGTCGCTGCTCTCCATAAGCGCCGCCAACTAAGTTAGAGAGTGAATGCATTTTAAATTCAGCCCGTCTGCTGTTTTTGTTATGTGCAGACTGTACGTTTTGTGTAGCATATTCCACAAAGCTAAAGTCAGACCATTCTGTTTTTGCTTTAAATATTGAAACTACAATAATAATAAAAGAAATGTATTAAAAACTGCTCATGCTGCATGTGTTTAGCATCTCTGTTTGGATCATGATTAAATCCAGTGTTTGCCACTAATTTCAAATGGCATGTTTTTTTTTTTTTAACAACAAATAAAACAGTTTAAACCAAGAAAAAAATCGGCAACCGGTATCGGAATCGGCCGATATATGACCGATAAATTCGTTTTTTTTTCTTCTGTTGAACAAAAAAAAAAGATATTTTAAAGAAGGTTGGTAACCAGACAGTTCACGGTACCCATTGACTTCCATTTTAGGTCAAAAAATACTATGGAAGTCATGGGTGCGGTCAACTGTTTGGTTGAGGGCATGACTAGCCTACTACACCAAAAAGCTTATTTGTCCTGTTTTAGCAATAATGTCCCACTTTTGCTGACTTCCCCCTACATACAAGACCTTAAATTAATTGGCGCTGTTGGCAGTAGGCCTATATGAAACAGTGTCAATCGCCAGTTGGCCATCAACATTTTCGTGAAGAACAATGCAATGTTGTAACAACATCAACGTGAACAACTCTCAGGAAAGTTGATAGGACAGTGCTGCATCGTCACGCCTTGCTAATTTGAAAATTCAAGCGCAAAAAGTGGCCAAAGGGAGCTCAGTTCGTTGGTGTGAACAATTCATTATGTTGTTGTGAAATAAACAGTTATAAAAATGTAGAAATTAAAGTCAAAGCTCCAATCTCCTCCCCAAAATCCCCCCCAAAAAAGTAATTTGGTGCTGTCAATCACAGCTGTCAATCATGACATCACACTCCTGTTTTTATAGCATCAAATAACTAACTAAAACCAGACTTATTTGAAACTTGAAACTTGTTTAAAAACTTTCACCAGCATGATAATAAAAACTACCTAAAATGACAAAAACCTTTTGAAAAAAAAAATATTTGAAGTGCAATTTTATTGTTTAGTTTGTCTCACGTCCCACTAGATTGCATGGAGAGGGCAGGGTTTATGACATATACTTAGACCAGCCCCCTGGGGGCGATCGAAACGTTTTGGCTTCACTTTTCAGGACTTGTGCGGCACACTTGGGCCCTACACATGCTAGATAATGATACATATTAATACATATATATATATATATATATATATATATATGTGTGTGTGTGTATATTAGGGGTGGAACGGTACACAGAAGTCACGGTTCGGTTCATACCTCGGTTCAGACATCACGGTTCGGTACGATTTCGGTACAATGGAGGGAAAAGCAAAACAAAAATGCAGAAGGCATCGTATTTTTTAAATAAGTTTTATTAATAAAGGCATAGAACCAGTTTATTTGTAGTGCACTGACAATAGTTTTATATAATTAGTTTATTAATTAAATTAATAAAAAAACAAAAAGACCTTGCGATATGTTTGGTAATTGTACCTGAATTAATTTAAAATTAATTTGCTATATTTCAGATCAATATATTTGTTTTCCTTAATTTTAATTAACATTATTAATTAACAATGTAACATTATTCTCATCTGAATTATAAATAATTGATTTATGTATAAAATAATACTACCATTAAAAACACATTCGATTTTCTTTTTTAATCAATGTAGAATGTGTAAGATTAGTGCTCCGAGGACAAGAAATGAAAACCAATGCAATATGATGAATGTCCAAAAGATGATGGGACCCACAGACTGTTTTGAAATGGAGTTGGATAAATATGTTTTACTTTTAAAACAGTGTGTGTGTGTGATTTTGGTTGGGTGACAGTTGTAGGTTACAGTTTGACAAGAGTTTACAGTGTGACAAAAGCACAATGTTGTGTTTTATTGCGAGTGTACACAAATATAAGTAAACACTTTGCAGGTTTAATGATCTGTATGAACAAAATGACCGAGTATGTTTTTTTATGTTTCCACTGTTCGATCTCGCGCCTATATCGCGCCCGCGCCTCTCTCTCTCTCTCTCTCTCTCTCTCTCTCTCTCTCTCTCTCTCTCTCTCTCACACACACACACACACACACACACACAAAGTTCGATCGCGGCCGTGCCTCTGCGCACACACACACGCACACACACACACTCCAGCATTGCAATCTTGACATCGCAGCCTGTTCATTATGCGGTCACACCAAACGCGAATAGAGCTTCAAATTCGCGTCTAGTTTGACGCTAGTCCAAAGCGAATAGGACGCGCGTATAAAGCCAACGTTTGAAGTGAACGCGCGTTCAGAGCTAAGCCGATGCTACAGATTATGTGTCCCTAAAGAACCGGCGTATCTAACAGTAGTTCCGCATTACATTAATTAATTTGCACGCGAGTTTTATTTATTTTTATACCGTGTATTCTCCGTGTAAATTCGTGCACCGAACCGTGACGCCCGTACCGTTTCGGTTCAATACTAATACATGTACCGTTCCACCCCTAGTGTATATGTATATATACAGTATATATATATAAATAAATGCAATATCCTTATAAATTCTGATCACGTTTTAGATTTCCATTACACGAGAGTAGATGTTAAAACTTCATGCTGATTTGTACTCGGCTTTCGCCAAGATAAGCACAAACTAAGATGTAGCTTTACAGTAAACTATGCTTCTCCATCCATTTACGCTTCCTTCCATGTGGTGGTGTGACTCCCCTTCTGTCCGGCATTAACGGCTGCAGTGTACTTGGCGCGTCAGTACACACAACGGCTGCAACCACAGTGTGGTCTCCCCAGTGGACCAGCACGACAACCATCTGGATTGAGCCGAGTAGGGGACATCTCTAGGGTCTTCAAGTGGGCACCTTCCGTCCTCAGTGTTTCGTCGACTAGCCCACGACACCTCAAGAGGGCTCGACAGTGACTCTGGCGTCCCAGAGTCACCCCCCTCCGTCCCCCACTCAACTCAGCCCAGCTTACTGACCTTTACATCCCTCCTGCTGCTGAGGTTGCTCCTTCCTCGTAGTTCACATGTGACCTAACCACAATCTCACAATCTCTCCGCAACCCAACCATACGCGCCAACCTGTTTGACTAAGGCTGTCGAGCCCCACTGGTGCGTTAATGCAGTTTCAGTGGCAACGGTTCCGTATGGCATACTACCTACCGCAAAACACAATATCTGCCCAAACACCAACCCTCATTCACGCAATATACACAGAAACGTTATAATTACTATGCAAACTATACAAATAAACCAACAGACTCTTCGAGTTTTTCAAGAATTCTACGAAACCGTAGCGTGGCAGCCTGTACCCAGCCAGCCAGAATCTTTCCGTCTCAACCACAGCCAGCTGCTGCTCCTTTCTGCTGCTTCAGATAAGTTCTTTACTGTGCGACGCAACTATTGGCCGCTGAATCCGACATCTCTGAGGAACCGGGTTGTAGAGTGTGCCACAAATCCTCGACAGCCCACTTCCACTGGATAAACCTGGACTCTCCATCCTCGCTGTTCTGCTTCAGTGGCCAGATGAGCATACCGCAGTTTCTTCCTCTCATATGCCTCATCTACAGCATCCTCCCATGGCACTGTTAACTCTATCAGTTGAACAATGCGTGCTGATCCAGACCACAAAACAATATCTGGTCGGAGGTTAGTGGCAATCTCAGGTGGAAAAATAAGCCATTGATCAAGATCAGCCAGCATTTTCCAGTCCCTAGCAGCTTGAGGTTGTCCAGGCCAGGCGAGGATTGGCTTTAACACCTTTTCTTGGTGGTTGCT